AAAACTACACGTATGATTTATTTAGTTGAATTTATAGATAGAACCTCCACTCAATGCAATTTTGGTGATGTTTAATCTTTACAATTATGATTAATTAACGACATATTGAATGAATGTTTTTACAATTCTATTAAAAATATATATATATAATTGCACGTCACACTCCAAATCGAACTGTAACCTATTCTAATCCGATTTTTTTTTCTCTAATTCTTGAGTTCATGATAACCTCAACACCACCTTGACTAGTCTCATGGATTTAACACATATAAATGCTGTATTCATATCCTACCATAAAGTGGTAATTTGAGGAAGGCTTTGAACTTTTATTTATTTTTATAAAAAGAATGTGGAGGGTTTTGAATTGAGAATTTAATTGTAGATAAAAACTGTTCTCCGACGACTTTATGGACCAACTAATTTTTTCCTACGAAAAGCGTGCCACATTAAGTGCCCACGCTGCTGAGCTATTCTCTGAGACTCGGAGACTACAACGTTTCATATACCAAAGTACGAAAATAACCCCAGTTGATTGACTAAATAACACAACAACCACCATGTATAATTTAAATTTATGATTTTTTCATATTCCCATAGAAAAACGTTACTGTGATCCTCTGACCGCACTCGTCATCAAATCATGGCAAATGAGGTCGTTGGAAATGTACCGTTTATTTTACTTCTCATATGTGTCTCAGTCCATAATCTTTGACTTATATGTATTATAACAAATTAGAATAAGTTTCAAACTATGTCACGCATTGAAAATGAGCAAGTATAAAATTAAGATTAAAAAAAATGTTACTTTGTCTTATTGTAGTTTTTTTTCTTCATTTCAAACTTGAATTCAACTTTAGGAAACCGGGTATGATACACAAAAGACAGGATTGAAATTGTATTGAAGTATGAACAAGAATATGTTGTTTCGTTTGACAAAAATGAAGAAAATAAGAGAGAAAAATGTTGTCGAATTACGAATTCCAAAATGGGGGTACACCTCAAGTACACATTTTCTCAAAACCAGTCAACGACATTAGGCCAAAAGCAGAAATGATGGAAAAGGTTTTAAGTTCGAATTTTCAACTACAAATTGAGAGAAAATAAAGAAAAAGAGAAAGCAAGAATGGCAAATTGGTGATTATCTCTAAAACCAAGACCTTCTCAATCCCACCCATCAAACTTGACTCAATATAAACCTATAGTTTTGTACCAGAACGCAAACACCAGTAAAACCCAAGAGCACAAAACGCATCCAACTCCAATTTCCAAGCCAACAACAACATCTTCTCTTCTTCTCTAGATCTCCATTGGGTTCTCTCACTCATTATCAAAAGAGCACTATAATTAACCCTTAATCATAATTAAGGGTCATAAAAAACGTTGGGTTTTTAGGTCCCACTGTATGTTATTCCTACCAATCATGATAGGGCGTTGACCCCGCAAAGCTCATCAATAAACTTGGAAACTGTTATAGAATTCTCAGAGAAGCTGAAACTAGCGAGCTAAACTGGTGCTTGAGCACGAAATCTGCAGCATACAGACAGGGAGGAGATATCTACAAATTACTGTTTACTTTGGGGAAATCCGAGTCCAGTTCTAAGGGGCCTGGGTGCTAAACAGAGAAATTTCAAGTGTAAACAATGGCATCCAAAGCCTTGTAAGTTTTTTGTCCCGGGTTTTAATCCATTAACAAAAATATATAGCTTTCCTTTCCTTCAAGGTTTTTTTAGTAAGTTAAAATTTTCGTGCTGCTGAAGCCCTGTTGTAAATCAAAGTAATCCATGAATATGACGAACACGGCAGGACAGGTATTTTTTTTTCTTCCATCCATAAAACTGAGTATATTATTGTTTCTCAGTTTGTAACAAATATATGAAAGCTGAGATTTGATCTCTTTGGATTTCATGTAAAGTTCTAAAGAACAAAATGAAAGCAAAGTGTGGGTGCTAATGCTATGTCTTTTCTTGAGAATTGGGATAGATTATTTATTTTCATTTTATTGTTTTCTTATTCATTCCTTTGTGCGTTGGGTGCGCTCTTGTGTGTGTATATATATGTCAGGTTCTCAATCATTCCATGTGTAAAGCGAAAGGAGGAAAAGGAGGAGATATCAACAAATTACTGTTTACTTTGGGGCAATCTGAGTCCAGTTCCAAGGGGCCTCGGTGCTAAACACAGAAATTTCAAGTGTAAACAATGGCATCCAAATCCTTGTAAGTTTTTTTTCTCCCGGGGTTTAATCCTTTAACAAAAATATATAGCTTCCTTTCCTTCAAGGTTTTTTAGTGAGTCAAAATTTTCATGCGGCTGAAGCCCAAAATTAACTCCTCTGCTGACAGAACGGTCTCCTACTGTCTCAGAAAATCGACTGGACAGGTTGCAGCGTGTCAATATGGCAGCAGCTAAACAATGTAAAAGAAGCTTCACCCTTATTCTAATATACATATACTGCTGACAGACATGTCCTATAAAACTTTTGATTCGAAATAATAAACTTCTGTTGGCATGGTAGGTCTACCCTTCAGTTGGACGCAGCTGCCATGCATCTTCCCAATTTGATTAAACAAATGTTTATAGATTTGGACAAGCAAAAAGAAACAAATATCTTTCTTAAAAAAATTTAAAACGTTGGGTTTTTAGGTCCCGCTGTATGTTATTCCGAAAATGCAGGAAAAGGAGGTCTCAACGATGATGGGAGTTTAGTAGTGGATAATGAATTATTACCATGGAAAACTAGACTGCATATTGCAAAGCAGCTTGCTAGTGCACTTACATACCTACATACTGCCTTTCCAAGGCCCATCGTTCATAGGAATTTAGAATCCACCCACATTTTATTGGACGATGACTATGTTCCCAAACTCTTTGACTTCTCATTCTCCATAACCATTCCTCCTGACCAATTGTATGTTCAAGAAAATTTCGCAACTTTTACATTGGGGTACCTGGACCCTGCTTACCGAAAGCAGACAGGGAGGAGATATCAACAAATTACTGTTTACTTTGGGGCAATCTGAGTCCAGTTCCAAGGGGCCTCGGTGCTAAACACAGAAATTTCAAGTGTAAACAATGGCATCCAAATCCTTGTAAGTTTTTTTTCTCCCGGGGTTTAATCCTTTAACAAAAATATATAGCTTCCTTTCCTTCAAGGTTTTTTAGTGAGTCAAAATTTTCATGCGGCTGAAGCCCAAAATTAACTCCTCTGCTGACAGAACGGTCTCCTACTGTCTCAGAAAATCGACTGGACAGGCTGCATCGTGTCAATATGGCAGCAGCTAAACAATGTAAAAGAAGCTTCACCCTTATTCTAATGCACAACAGCAACTGAAGGATTTCCTAGCACTGGCATTGTTGTGCATCCAAGAGGAAAGTGAAGCAAGGCTAGATATGATTGATGTGGCCAAAGAACTCGTACGAATTGAAAAGTCTACTTGCCTTAGCTAGATATGATGCTTAATTAACTTATCCGCTGCACTTGTTATGCTAAGCTCAGTCTTTCACCTGTTCAAAGGGTTGACGCTATGCTAAGCTCTTTGCATTAGAAGAATATCCATAATTATCATTATCTAATTAAATTATCTGATTATAAATACTTAATTATATGGATTTCAACCATCAAGCAAAAGGTCAATGACAAACTGTTCTTATTCTTTTAGTATCGTTTGTACTTAAAATGTTACGTGCAATTTTCTCCCAGCAGAGAGTTGTAGTTCCACATTAATAAAATGCTCTTTGACATATTTTTCTCATTGATGTTCATGCTGTTCAGGATATCAACTCTTCTTCCTTTGCATTGTTAATTTAAATTACATATATACAATTTTGTTTCATAGGTTGCAGAGTCAAAGCTAGCTTTTTTGGGAGTTTCATAGGTACTCCTCTTGTTAGTGCATTAACTTCGTCAGGAATGGAGTCCAGTGGGTTGATTGTGGTTGGACCTGAAGGTGGTAAGTATGCATCCTGTAAATGTTTACTTTTTATTACTTTTGCTGCATACCAATCACCGGGCATATAAATAAAACTTGAAAACCAGAAACTTTTCCACTTTTGAATTAGTTTACTGGACAGCACCAAAATCCTGCATTTCTATCCCCAAATAATGAGATTTAGGGTGACAGATTGATGCAAAATTGATTAGGCCAATTATGACTTGATGAAGGGTTTTGGAAACAAATTGGAGGTTTGATTGCGAACCAAAATTAATAAGAATTTTAATATCAATTGAATATCAGGCAATTAGAAGGTATGGAGCAAATTGTTAAAAAAATTGGTAAGAAGAAGAGTCTGGGTCAAACTATGAGTAAAATTTACCCAAATTTCTGTTAAGGTTTATGTTGGAATAAACTCCCAACAATTGTTTGTGACGCACTAGATGAATATTGAAGTCCTCTTAATTGGGGCATAGAAAAAAACCTTGTATTGGGCCAGTTCCCCACCCAATCCACAATCAATTGATTAAAGTCAATATCGGTGCGCATTTTCCAGTCTTACCGTTTTCAGTCTGTTGGAGTTTTTCACTGCCAACAGTGGCACGCCTTCGCAATCGCAACAAGCAAACTCCACGGCCAAACACCACGCGAATGGCCGGCGGTTCCTTTTCGGGGTAAACAGCATCCTTGCAAAACCAACCATTTTGCTGCTCAATTGATATAAGTAGGTGTATTGGTTTAGTTTGTGTTTTCGAGTACAGGTTTTTTTCTTTTGCAAAACCAAAACTGAACAGCCAGCTCGAAAGAGGAAAAACGGAAGAAAGAGGTCACGGGTTTAACGGCGTTAATTCATGTTAAATTGTGGGACATATGTATATTTCTTTTTCTTTTTTCTTTTTTTGTCAAGAAAATTGTGATACACAAACTAATTTATAAAAGACCCAAAAAAATTTAGCCCAAATTAGCTGACAAGGCTCCATTGGCGCTAAAACGCATATTTTCCCGCCAAAAACCTAAAAGCCAACACAAAACCCAATACTGCAACAAACACCAAACCAGGAACAGAAAGGAAGAGTAGACAAAGAAAAAAGAAGAAGCAGAGCTGCAGAGAAGAGAATTTCCATCAATGAGCGAAGAGAAACAGTATTGGCTTCTGAAGACAGAGCCAGGAGAGTGGTCGTGGGAGGACCAAGCAGCCAATGGGGGCTTAACCAAGTGGGATGGTGTAAAAAACAAGCAAGCCCAGAAGCACCTCAAATCCATGAAACTCAGTGACCTCTGCTTCTTCTACCACTCCGGCGCCAAGGCCCGCCGTGTAGTCGGCGTTGTGACTGTTGTTCGGGAATGGTATTCAGACGGCGGCGATGATGGGATGGTGGATGTGAAGGCGGTTGGGGAGATGAGGAGGCCGGTGGACTTAAAGGAGATGAAGGGGGAGAAGGGGCTCAAGGGTTTTGCTCTGTTTAGGCAGCCGAGGCTGTCGGTGGTACCGGTTCCTGAGGATGTGTGGATTAGGGTTTGTGATTTGGGAGGTGGGTATCAAGGTGATGGTATTGTTTTAGAGAGCCATGATAGTGATGGTGAATCTGGTGAGGAAGAAGACGGTTGATTTGGAGGGTTTTTTGTGTGTTGTTTTTTGCATGGTAGGTGTTTGTGATTATGTCACAATGTCCTAAGTGACTTGTACTATTTTGGTAGTGTCAATGGGAAATAGTACTTTTTAAGTGATTGTACTTCATGGTTTTGTTTGATCATGAAAAGGGAAAACTTGTACCTTGGCGTGTAATTAGTAGGCTTTTAACAAGCACAAAATGAATGTGAGCTACACTTTGCTCATTTCTGTGTCTCATTGTTAAGCTCTCTATATTTGAATATTCAACCCACTCTCTAATCTTCTTCTGTAATTCATAGTTCCCAGAAGAAAATTTGTAATGTTCTGTTATCATTTGTAATATCCATTTGGAAGGAGTGAGGGCAGATATGGTTGATGTGAAAGGCAGTTGGGGAAATGAGGAAGGCAGTGGAGGAGATGAAGTCTGAATGGATTTGCTCTGTTTATTCAGCCGAAGCTTTTGGTTGGCAATTTCTAGGCAAGTTCATTAAATTTTGCTAATTGTTTTCGTTTTCTTTTTGTCTGATAATGAAAGGGGAAAATAGTAATTTCCTGTAAACTTCTTTGGCCGACTCCACTGTACGTTGATCATTCGATGGCATCGTTGACCTTGCAAAGCATAGCAATAAACTTCAGAACTCTACTCATTCTCAAATGAAAGCCATATCCATCCATCCATCCATCTGCAGAAGAAAATCAAATTGACGGAGTGGACTGGGTGGAGAAATCGATCAATTACTGTTTACTTGGTGCAATCCAAAGCAGAAACAATGCCATCAAAACTCTTGCAATTGTAAGTTCAATTTTTCATGGATAATATGTAGCTTCAATTTTAAACCTGATTGTAGATTTTAATTGTAAGTTCTAAAAGCTCAGATTATATCTCTTGGAATCTCATATGAAGTATGCAGAGTGTGTTAGCATAGTCTCACATCACATGCTTCCCTTTGGAGAGATTATTTCAATTTCATCATTTTATTTTCATTTTTGGCCATTGAAAAAACATATAGTTTAATTAATTTATTGTGTTACACGGATATATTCTATCAGGTTCTCAATGTTGCCATGCTTGGGAAAGGAGGGAAGAGATGCTGATATTGAGTCATCATACTACAAGAATCTGAGCAAATTATTAGAGGATCTCATTGCTTCTTGTGATGGTACATCTCATCCTGTTCATTGTTACTCTGCGGATGACCTCATCAGGGCAACCAACAACTTCCATCCGTCTTGCATTGTACGAAAGGATTTAAACTACACAATGTTCAGGGGATTTCTAAACGACCAGTTGATTATCATTGCCAGGTACTCCATTGGGAGCTTGCCCCATGACTCAGGGGGCAATGAGGATGATGTTAGGTCCCGGGCAATTCGCGACATTGTTGTTTCAATACATATGAGCAACCATGAGAATGTTTTGAAACTCTTGGGCTGCTGCTTAGAGTTCCCTCTACCCGCCCTGGTGCTTGAAAATGCAGAAGGAGTTCTTGAAGGTGACGGAAGTTTAAGAGACTGTCGGTGGTACCGGTTCCTGAGGATGTGTGGATTAGGGTTTGTGATTTGGGAGGTGGGTATCAAGGTGATGGTATTGTTTTAGAGAGCCATGATAGTGATGGTGAATCTGGTGAGGAAGAAGACGATTGATTTTGAGGGTTTTTTGTGTGTTGTTTTTTGCATGGTAGGTGTTTGTGATTATGTCACAATGTCCTAAGTGACTTGTACTATTTTGCGTAGTGTCAATGGGAAATAGTACTTTTTAAGTGATTGTCCTTCATGGTTTTGTTTGATCATGAAAAGGGAAAACTTGTACGCCCTGGCATGTAATTAGTAGGCTTTTAACAAGCACAAAATGAATGTGAGCTACACTTTGCTCATTTGGGTCTCTCATTGTTAAAGTGTTAATGTTAAGCTCTCTATATTTGAATATTCAACCCACTCTCTAATCTTCTTATGTAATTCATAGTTCCCAAAAGAAAATTTGTAATATTCTGTTATCATTTGTAATATCCATTTGGAAGGAGTGAGGGCTGATATGGTTGATGTGAAAGGCAGTTTGGGAAATGAGGAAGTCAGTGGAGGAGATGAAGTCTGAATGGATTTGCTCTGTTTATTCAGCCGAAGCTATATATATACATACACATAGCAGAAGTACAAATCAACCGAAGTTATATTTCAATTGGTAGGTGGGGTGGGGCAGTATTTGTGCTCTAGCAATTTCAAGGCAAGTTCTTCTTGACTAATTGTAAATTCATGTAAATTGCTTTGGTAGGCCCCAGTACACGCTATTCATTTGATGGCAATAAATTCAGAACTGTAATCATTCTCAAACGAAAGCCATATCCATCCATCCATCCACCCGCAGAAGAAAATCAAATTGACGCGGTGGACTCCGTAGCCAAAACAATGCCATCAAAACTCTGGCAATTGTAAGTTATTGCTTTCATGGATGATATGTAGCTGGCTTTAACATTAAATTTGATTCCCAGATTTTATTTCCTTAACTATTTTCGTTTAATTCGTTTTCTGCCAGTACCAGATTTTAATTCTTGGCCAATAAAAAACGGATATATATTTCATTAATTTAATGTGTGTATATATATTTATATCTTTAAGGTTGCCATGCTTGGGAAAGGTGGGAAGAGATTCTGATATTGAATAATTAATGAGTGGTTTCTAGACATATACAACTTGGAAATTCCAACTCCCCCGAATGACTATAAATGGCCCCATGATCTCCAAGCAAACGCGTTATAAATCTGAAAAGACTCGAGTGGAGTCAAGTCAACTCAACAGGTCTACCCTTCAGTTGGGCGCAGCTGCCATGCATCTTCCCAATTTGATTACATAAATTACTGGTGCTTGAGCACGAAATCGGCAGCATACAGGGAGGAGAAATCAACAAATTACTATTTACTTTGGGGCAATCTGAGTCCAGTTATAAGAGGCCTCGGTGCTAAACACAGAAATTTCAAGTGTAAACAATGGCCTCCCTCGCTTCTTCTCCGAGCTTCTCCCTACTTCCAAGGCACTCTCTCTCTCTCTCTCTCTCTCTCTCTCTCTCTCACTTACTCACAGAGTAAATGTAGGCTCTTATTGTTTGTTCTCTTGATGATTATACAGGGAGGCATAGTTCGCGTACAAGGCGATGAGTTCTGGCACATGACCAAAGTTTTAAGATTGCGCACAAACGAAAGGTACCTAAATCCTAGTCCTAATCAATTTCATCCATTTTAATTTCATGTTATCTGGACAAATTGGAATTGGATTGCGTTGAATTTGGAACCATTTATTATGAAAGGTTCAATTTTGTTTAGGAAATTGGGATTTGTTGCATTACATTACACTTGTGTATTTTAATGATTGTCCACATAATGCATGCAAGGGTAGAGCTCTTCAATGGGAAAGGAGGTTTGATACAAGGTTTAATACAGAGCGTCGACCGCTCTGGACTTGTTTTTGTGGCATTGGAAGATCCAAAGTCAGTTCTTCCACAGAGCACACAATGGCATGTATTTGCAGCTTTTGGTGAGTTCTTTAGATTTCCAATTCCGGGGGAATGTTTTGTAAGAGTGGTTAAGGTATAGGGGAATATTGTTGTCACATATTAACATGTTGCCCCTGTTTAGGTACTTTAAAGGGTGGCCGAGCTGATTGGCTTGTTGAGAAATGCACGGTATAATTCATGTTTTTGTGATGACTATAGGGATAGTGCATAACCGCCATTTCTGCTAATTGTATTGTTTTTGTATTTGTTGTGTTGTCTTAGGAGCTGGGGGCTAGTAGTTTAACTCCTCTGCTGACAGAACGGTCTCCTACTGTCTCAGAAAATCGACTGGACAGGTTGCAGCGTGTCAATATGGCAGCAGCTAAACAATGTAAAAGAAGCTTCACCCTTATTCTAATATACATGTAGTGCTGACAGACATGTCCTATAAAACTTTTGATTCGAAATAATAAAATTCAAATTTTTTGCCCATGAATATTTTCACAGGTCAACGGCTGCATGAAATGATCTTGAATCCTTCAAAGAATATTAATGGTCTTTTACCTCTCGTGAGTGCTTTCTTCCTATTTTGTTTCATTTCAAAGGTTGGTTTATTGATGTGTATTCTGGCCCGTTCTATAGTATAGGTCAATGACAAACTGTTCTTATTCTTTTAGTATCGTTTGTACTTAAAATGTTACGTGCAATTTTCTCACGGCAGAGAGTTGTAGTTCCACATTAATAAAATGCTCTTTGACATATTTTTCTCATTGATGTTCATGCTGTTCAGGATATCAACTCTTCTTCCTTTGCATTGTTAATTTAAATTACATATATACAATTTTGTTTCATAGGTTGCACAGTCAAAGCTAGCTTTTTTGGCAGTTGCAGAAGGTACTCCTCTTGTTAGTGCATTAACTTCGTCAGGAACGGAGTCCAGTGGATTGATTGTGGTTGGACCTGAAGGTGGTAAGTATGCATCCTGTAAATGTTTTCTTTTTATTACTTTTGCTGCATACCAATCACCGGGCATATAAATAAAACTTGAAAACCAGAAACTTTTCCACTTTTGAATTAGTTTTCTGGACAGCACCAAAATCCTGCATTTCTATCCCCAAATAATGAGATTTAGGGTGACAGATTGATGCGAAATTGGTTAGGCCAATTATGACTTTGACTTGATGAAGGGTTTTGGAAACAAATTGGAGGTTTGATTGGCAAACCAAAATTAATAAGAATTTTAATATCAATTGAATATCAGGCAATTAGAAGGTATGCAGCAAATTGTTAACAAAATTGGTAAGAAGAAAAGTCTGGGTCAAACTATGAGTAAAATTTACCCAAATTTCTATTAAGGTTTATGTTGGAATAAACTACCAACAGTTGTTTGTGTGCTCTGATTTTCCCGTATGTTTGGTGCTTAGTATTCGTTCTCTCCTTAGGTTCATCCTATGCCTCTTGTTTACTCATAAATATATCATATATGCTTATGTAGTTTAGTTTTCAATACTGAGAGTACTACTCAGGATTGTGGATCTATTTTTCCATGTTCTTGCTTCAGACTTCACTGAGAAAGAGGTGAATGAATTGATGCAAGCTGGTGCTATCTCTGTTGGTCTTGGTCCACATCGATTACGGGTTGAAACTGCAACTGTGGCTCTTCTGGCAACTCTGATGTTGTGGTCTGATTCTCAAAAAACATGCGATACTTTATCTCACTCTCAAGGCTAGTGTTCTTTAGTCATCTCTTGGATAAGGCTGAACTACATTACTTTTTGTGTACCACTTACTTTTGGTCAATTGTAGATGACTGTTTGTTTCACCAATGCTGTTGTTGTTGACCATATGAAGGTTAATTTTAACGAGGGATTTGAGCACTGTAATTTAAGCCAATTTCTAGAGCACAATCATCATTTTACAGAGCTCTCTCAAATTAAACCTTTTTACAGAGCACCGTAATTTTAGCCAATTTTCAGACCGCTTTCTAACCATATTGACATGACGGTAGTTTTAAGTATTTTGAACTTAAAATTAAACACGTAGTACTTGGAAGCAGGGTAGGTGTTTCAGCCGCTGGGGGAATTCCCGAAAGATTTAGTTGGTGCCGCCCCGAAAAAATTTGTTGGTTCAGGGCTCGTAGGAAATGTCGGAACTTGAAAGAATGTATGGTGGATTTAGGTTGTGCACGAAAAAGCAAGTAAATAGCTGAAACAAAGATGTATCAAGATTACAGCACTTGTTTGTTTTCCCTTTTCCTCCGCTGGCTTACAACGTGCGTCCTCTCATTTTCTCATCAACTTTCCTACAATGTCATTTCTCGCCATTTTTGTCCAATTATTTTGGATTAATGATTAGAACTTATCCAAAAAACAACTGATTCTCAACTCTCATGAAGTATGGTCTGGTTCTCAAAAAACAATTGATCCTTAATCTCAAAAAACACACGTGTTATAATATGAGTAGAATAAGTGTAACATGTACATCACGTGATGATGTTACTGTTGGATAAAAGTTAATCGTATGCAATACAAGTTAACCAATGATTTCAGCACGCGTGCGATTCTAGATTGGGTAGTCAAACTCCCACTCAAACTATTTGATTGACTTGTAAATTGTGCCGACTAGAAAATCTGTGTGATTCATATAAGCAAATGAAGTCTCGTAGCATTTTTTTCTCTCTGTCTTCCTTTTTGTCATCATTTCTAATCAAAAGCTCCACAGTGTATGAATGAGGATTGATATAAGGTCCTCCATGTCAAAAAATGTCGCTAAGAAGAGTTGCCAAATTTGTTTGTGCAGAGAATTCAAAATGTCAACTTCAGAAGTTAAAACATACAAACAAGGATTTGTTTTGTAGTCTAAGTTCTGGCAGGCAGCCTTTCTCATTCACTAGGAAGAAGAGGGTGCCGTGCAGATTGATGCGCACGTGATTGTAGATTTTTCTCATTATTTGAGGCTTTCTTGATATTTGAATTTTTCTTTCAAGTCAAACGGTGATTGTTTGGAGGAAGGAAGGAACACGGAAAAGATATCAAATTACTGTTGCTTAAGCACCAAATCTGCAGCATACAGGGAGGAGATATCAACAAATTACTGTTTACTTTGGGGCAATCTGAGTCCAGTTCTAAGGGGCCTCGGTGCTAAACACAGAAATTTCAAGTGTAAACAATGGCATCCAAAGCCTTGTAAGTTTTTTTTTCCCCTGGTTTTAATCCTTTAACAAAAATATATAGCTTTCCTTTCCGTCAAGGTTTTTTTAGTAAGTCAAAATTTTCGTGCGGCTGAAGCCCAAAATTCTGTTGTAAATCAAAGTAATCCATGAATATGACGAACACGGCAGGACAGGTATTTTTTTTTCTTCCATCCATAAAACTGAGTATATTATTGTTTCTCAGTTTGTAACAAATATATGAAAGCTGAGATTTGATCTCTTTGGATTTCATGTGAAGTTCTAAAGAACAAAATGAATGTCTTTTCTTGAGAATTGGGATAGATTATTTACTTTCGTTTCATCGATTTCTTATTCATTCCCTTGTGCGTTGTGTGCGCTCGTGTGTGTCTATATATATATATATATATCAGGTTCTCAATCATTCCACGTGTAAAGCGAAAGGAGGAAAAGGAGGAAAGAAAGAGATCATTCTTGAAGAATGGAAGCATGTTACTAAAGGATCTTATTGCTTCTTGTGATGGAAAATCTCATCCTATTCGTTGTCACTCTGCTGCTGAGTTCATCAGAGCTACCAACAACTTTGATCGTTCTTGCATTATAGATGGATTACACTACGGGAAAAACATGTACAAGGGTATTCTAGACGACCGAACAGTTATCATTAAGCAGCATTATAGCATCGACGAGGCTATTCGTGATATTATCATATCAATGCAGATGAGCACCCATAAGAATTCCTTGAAATTATTAGGCTGCTGCTTAGAGTTCGATACACCGGCTTTGGTGTTTGAAAATGCAGGAAAAGGAGGTCTCAAATATGATGGGAGTTTAGTAGTGGATAATGAATTATTACCATGGAAAACTAGACTGCGTATTGCAAAGCAGCTTGCTAGTGCACTTACATACCTACATACTGCCTTTCCAAGGCCCATCGTTCATAGGAGTATAACATCCCACTGCATTTTATTGGACGATGACTATGTTCCCAAACTCTTGGACTTTTCATTCTCCATAACCATTCCTCCTGACCAATTCTATGTTCAAGAAAATTTCGCAAAAGGGACATTTGGGTACGCGGACCCTACTTACGCAAATTATTGTCAAAGTTCAGAAAAAACTGATGTTTATAGCTTTGGTGTGCTTTTACTTGTATTCTTGATGCGACGAGAAGCTGTGGATGGAAACTCAGGACATGAGGAACTTACTAAAGATCCGAAACTTAATGTTTCTGATGGACAGATTCAAATAGAGACAATTGCGGACCCTAAAATCCTTGAGGAAGTCAGGGGAGATGAGCAAGCACAACAGCAACTGAAGGATTTCCTAGCACTGGCATTGTTGTGCATCCAAGACCAAAGTGAAGCAAGGCCAGATATGATTGATGTGGCCAAAGAGCTTGTACGAATTGACAAGTCTATCTTGCCTTAACTAGCTAGCTATTCAAGTTTTATTTTGCAGTTTGCTGTTTGTAAGACGAAAATAGGCTATTCAAGTTTTATTTTGTTTTTTTTATGTCGTCCATGTCGTAGATAGGGCTAAAGCCTGACCCAATTTTTTGTAAAACTTCCCCAGTCTATATATATAGCCCAGCCCATCCCTTAAAAAAAAAAATTAACAAACACCCAATCCAAGAGCCAATTCGTGTGTCCCTTTGTCTGCTCATCTCCACGTGCCCACCTCTGTTTTTTCTTTTCTTTTTTTTCTTTTCTTTTTCTTTTGATTTAATTATAAGATTATTTCAAATTTTTGATTTATGACTTTAAGATTTTAAAATAAAATTGCGAAAAATAACATAAGAACCTATAAATTGGCGGAGCGTGCATGATACTAAATAAATAAAAAATCCAATCCCTCACGTGGGAAATAAAAATCTATCACATGCGCGTGCTAGTATTTAATAAACAAACAAATAAATAAGTAAAACATTGGTTCTTGTTTGCGTCCCACTGTATTTCCCAAACAAAAAAAAATCGTTTACTTGGGGCAATCTGAGTCCAGTTCTAAGGGGCCTGGTTGCTAAACAATGACATCCAAAGCCTTGTAAGTTATGTTCTGTCTTTGGATTTCATGTGAAGTTCTAAAGAACAAAATGAGAGCAAACTGTGGATGTTCTGTATTTTTCTTGATTAATTATTTCCATTTCATCAATTTGTATTCATTCTTGTGCGTTTGTGTTTTACCTATATATGTATGTATTAGGTTCTCATTGTTTCCACGTTCGAGCAAGAACAAGAAGGAAAGAGAGAGATCATTCTTGGATAATGGAAGCATCTTACTAGAGAATAACATTGCTTCTTGTGATGGAAAATCTAATCCTACTCGCTCTTACTTAGCTACTGAGCTCGTCAGGGCTACCAACAACTTCCATCTTTCTTGCATCATACAAGATGATGGAGACTGCCAAATGTTCAAGGGTGTTCTAGACAACCGAACAATTATCATTAGGAAGTACATTATCCGTGAGAATGACAAGGACAATGATGAAGTTAGGTCTCGTGCTATTCGTGATATTAAGATATCAAGGCAGATGAGCTCCCATAAGAATGCTTTGAAATTATTAGGTTACTGCTTAGAGTTCCCTCTACTCGCTCTGGTGCATGAAAATGCAGCAAAAGGAGTTCTCAGGGATGATGGAAGTTTAAGCGGGGCTAATGGAGGTCAATCCTTGTTACCATGGAAAACTAGACTGCGTATTGCGAAGCAGCTTGCTAATGCACTTACATATCTCCATACCGCCTTTTCTAGACCCATCATTCATAGGAATCTGAGATCCACCTGCATTTTGTTGGATGATGACTATGTTCCCAAACTCTCCAACTTTTCATTAAGTGATCCTCCTAAGCAATCCCATGTCAAAGGCGATAACAAAATAAGGGCATCTGGGTACACTGACCCCGACTACCTTGCAACTGGTTACATTACCGAAAAGACTGATGTTTATAGCTTTGGTGTGCTTCTACTTGTACTCTTGACGCAAAGAGCTGCATATAGCATTCAGGCAGGAGAACTGGACATTACTGCAAATCCGAAATTTCATGTTTCTGATGGCCAGACTAAAATTCAGAAAATTGTGGATCCTAAAATATTAAAGGAGGTAGGGGAAGATGGGCATGCACAACAGCAATTGCAGGATTGTTTAGCACTTGCAGTGTCATGCATCCAAAACCAAAGTGAAGCAAGGCCAAAAATGATTCATGTGGCCAAAGAACTTGTACGAATTGAGAAGTCCATCTTCCCTTAGCTAGCTCTAGCTTAAATAATTTATCCATTACATTTGTTATGCCGTACCGAATTGTAGTTTGGAAGCTCAGTCCTTCATCTGGTGAGGGGTTGATGCTATTCTATCTGTATTAGAAGAATATCTACAATAATTACACTTATATAATTGAGTTATATTGTGAGAAATTATGAAGGTTTTCAAGCAAAGCACCTCTCTCTGCCTGATTGCTATATGGAAGCATGCTATCCGAGGATCCCATCAGGCCATGCATCTTCTTATAGATTAAGGAAATTACTTTCCTTGGTATCATGCATCTTCTCAATTTGGTCTTGTATCCTCAAAGTGCATATATAATTACACCAATTTTACAGTTTTCTCTCAATTATAAACCCTGACCTCATGATTTTTTCGGTTATTTGGTGTCGATTTCTGATAGTGTACAAAAGCAAGCATCCTATGCTAAATAGATATATCATTGCTGCTCGACAATATTATATAAAGTGTTAATCAACCTCAGAGACTTCGACAGAGGCTCTCAATCGAAATTTTCATGTGGCTGAATCCCAAAAGTTGTTTTGTAAGGAAAAAACATTTCTTGAAAGCATCATTTGTAACTGAAAAAAAAAATGGACAAAGAAAAAAGAAGATGACTCACACTAAAATTAGGGAAAATGAAGTCATCATTTCAAGCAATTCTCTCATCTCTCATCTACTTTGTTTTTATCTTCTTTCTGACTATCTTCCTAATGCGTGTGGTCCTTTCTTGATATCCCAAATCGGCAAGGGAATAGAGGGGAAGGCAACCTATTTTCTTTCTATTAAAGGGATTGGGGGAAGCTTCCGTGCATCTTCTTCCCAACAAATACATAAAACGGACAATTTCAGTTACACTATACGAGGTTTGGTGTAATTGCAATCAGACCTTAAGGTTTCTTTTATTTCATTTATACTCCTTATGTTACTTTCTTTTATTAAAAATCTAAGTTTGACGGATGAAAAATAGAGATATATAAAAGTATTAGATTAATATTTGAGATGTAAAATTAAAGAAAAAACCTAAAATTTTAATTAAAGAAACATTTTGAAGAACAAGATCAAGAAAGTTCAATTGTGTGTCTTCCATCCGCTACTTACTGAGGAATTGTTAACATTTGGACTATTTTGTGCTAGAAGATTTGGTATCTCCAATATCATTATTGAAGGATCTTCTCGTGTTTTAGTTTGTCTGCTACAACATCTACACATACCACCTTGGCGAATTTTCTCCTTAGCTTGCAATATTACAAATTGTCTCATTAAGTACAAGTTACACAATCACCATATCTTTCGTGAACGCTCTCAAATTTTTAAGTGCCCAATCTAACGGGTACACACAAGTATCCTAGAACCAACCGCCTAGCACCTACTCCCCTATTGATATCTTTAATTTTTTTCTCTTTTAAATGTGAAAAAATGTTTATGACAATTTTTGTATCTGAAAAAGATAAATCTTTTTTCTTATTTTATTTTATTTTATTTTGTTTTGTAAGATGCAAACGACCGCATTTGGCCTTTGACTGTTTGTCATAGATTTTAAAGTTAGGTGGTGAATGTGGAATCAATGAAATCTGTGGCATCTGTCCGTAATTACACTAAACCTCAAGGACCGTGACAATACAAACTTTTGGGTTCCACTGCACGTTATTTCCTACTATTCATAACTGGGCGTTGAGCTTGCAATTTCTCAGAGAGAATGAGAGTAAAGAGCTAAACTGCTGCTAGAACACGAAATCTACAGTAGAGTGGGAGGAGATATCAACAACTTGAGGTTTTAGCTTTTTAGTTTTATTTTTTCAGTTACCTTGAGGTTTTGTTTTTTTGTTTTTTGTTTTTCTTTCTGTTGGCATGGTAGGTGTTTGTGATTTTGTCACAATAACCCAAGTTGCTTGTATTTTTAATAGGGCTTCCTGGAAGTTCAGTGGAAGTTCATGTGTTTGATCATGAAAGGTAATTGTTTGGGGGAAGAAAGGAACACGAAAAAGACAATGACGAGGCAAAGGGTGATGATATATACTTTTTAAACGTATGAATGAATAATTAATGAGTCGTTTCTAGACATTACAACCTGGAAATTCCAACTCCCCCGAACGACTATAAACGGCCCCATGATCTCCAAGCAAACGCGTTATAAATCTGAAAAGTCAACAGGTCTACCCTTCAGTTGGACGCAGCTGCCATGCATCTTCCCAATTTGATTAAACAAATGTTTATAGATTTGGACAAGCAAAAAGAAACAAATATCTTTCTAAAAAAAAATTAAAACGTTGGGTTTTTAGGTCCCGCTGTATGTTATTCTTACCAATCATGATAGGGCGTTGACCCCGCAAAGCTTATCAATAAACTTGGAAACTGTTATAGAATTCTCAGAGAAGCTGAAACTAACGAGCCAAACTGGTGCTTGAGCACGAAATCTGCAGCATACAGACAGGGAGGAGATATCAACAAATTACTGTTTACTTTGGGGCAATCTGAGTCCAGTTCTAAGGGGCCTGGGTGCTAAACATAGAAATTTCAAGTGTAAACAATGGCATCCAAAGCCTTGTAAGTTTTTTTTCCCGGGTTTTAATCCATTAACAAAAATATATAGCTTTCCTTTCCTTCAAGGTTTTTTCAGTAAGTTAAAATTTTCGTGTGGCTGAAGCCCAAAATTCTGTTGTAAATCAAAGTAATCCATGAATATGACGAAAGCGGCAGGACAAGTAATTTTTTTTTTCTTCCATCCATAAAACTGAGTATTATTGTTGTTTCTCAGTTTGTAAGAAATATATGAAAGCTGAGATTTGGTCTCTTTGGATTTCATGTAAAGTTCTAAAGAACAAAATGAAAGCAAAGTGTGGGTGCTAATGCTATGTTTTTTCTTGAGAATTGGGATAGATTATTTATTTCATTTCATCGATTTCTTATTCATTCCTTTGTGCGTTGTGTGCGCTCTTGTGTGCACGCATATATATATATATATATATATATATATCAGGTTCTCAATCATTCCACGTGTAAAGCGAAAGGGGGAAAAGGGGGAAAAGGAGGAAAAGGAGGAAAGAAAGAGATCATTCTTGAAGAATGGAAGCATCTTACTAAAGGATCTAATTGCTTCTTGTGATGGAAAATCTCATCCTATTCGTTCTTACTCAGAGCTACCAACAACTTTGATCCTTCTTGCATTACAGATGGAAAATCTCATCTAGAATACCCCTACCCCTTCGCACACTTGTACAGGGGTATTCTAGATGACCGAACAGTTATCATTAAGCAGCATTATAAGGTCCACTTGGCTATTCGTGATATTATCATATCAATGCAGATGAG